AAAAAATGGCCAGGCGTTGTGGTGAGTGCCTGTAGTCCCAGCTACTTGGGAGGCTGAGGCAGGAGACTCACTTGAGCCCATGAGTTGGAGGTTGCTGTGAGCGTGATGCCATGGCACTCTACCCAGGGGGATAGCTTGAGGCTCCGTCTCAAAAAAAAAATAAATAAATTGTTGTGGGAAGTACACAGATGCCTGTCAGCACAAGAGCATGTCTTTAAGAGATTTTGCTTTTGAGATTCTGCAGCCTTGAAGGCCAAAGATAACCTATGGCCTTCAGGTGGCAGTTGTTGCCCTACCCACTTGGCATCTTCTACAGGGCTAGTGTCAGCTGCAAGCAGCCACTGGCAGCTAAAACTGGTCCAGCCAAAGGAAAGGGACAGGAGTCATAGTCTATTCCCTTGGGAATATTGCACAACCCTGGCCTAATAGTGCTCCTCATTCTGTCCCAGTATTCCTAAGCAGTCTTGTGTTTGTGTCATGATTCTCTAAGGTGCTGCAAGTTTTCTCCAGGGTTATCTTTCTTGTGTTTCAGAGTCCATGTTGTACTTAGATGGGCAGCGGCATTTCAACTCCATGAGTGTACCAGTGACCTTGAGAAAGGACTACCTTGTGGAGCCCTAGGAAAACCTCACGTGTGGAAAACCAGCCTTTCACCTGCATTGACACAGTCCCTAATAATGGCCTTGATTTTAGTGTTGCTTTCCATCCTCCATCGAGAAGGAGAATGTAGTTAGCATTTAGGGTGATCGGAAAAGTATAATAACAGAATGGCTGGATGGGGCCGAGGGGAGAAAGAATTATTAAACCACAAATATTTTCAAAACAGTTTTCATTGTAAACCTACCTTGTTGCATTGTATTTGCTAAAGGAATTAGGGCAGAATGCCTTTTTACACAGTTGGACATATTCTTTTCTTACTATCAGTATACAAGGCGTTACATATCCTGCCAAGGAATTTGGGTGACATCTCTAACTTATCTAAAATCCCATCAACTCCACATGATTCCTTTGTATTTTGCTTCTGACAGGCCTCTTGTAGCCTTCTCTTGGATGTTTATAAAATTTTTAGTGGGATTTTCTTCCCTCTATTTCCCAGCTTTTGTTGTTGGCAGAAGGTAGATGAAAAGTTGGGGGTGAAGGGATTCAGTAAAAGATAACAGCAACTGTGAAGATTTGTGGGAAGCTTTAGATCCAAAACCATACTATGAGAGGTGTTCAGAGATGATCTGGATGAGGAAACAGGACCATTTTGTCATTCTTTCATTCACCAGACAACTATTCAGTATACTGTGCATGGGGCTGGGCAGGATACATTGATTAAAAACAAGAACAATAGTAATAATACCTGCTTATGCTTATGGACACTTGCCATGTGCTGGTTAGGCACTGTCCTTAGCACTTGGCATGTATTAGCCCACTTATTTCTTCTAATCAATACAATGAGACAGGTTCTATAACATCCCCCACATGGGTTTAGGCCATTCAGGAAACTGAAGCACAGAGAAGTTAAGTAACTTGTTGAAGGTAAAACAGCCAAGAAGTTGTGGTGCTGGGATTCAGAACCAGGCAGTGTGGGTCCAGGGTACTCCTGGCCAGTACAGTGTACTGCTTTCAAGGAATATAGCAAGGGAGTTCACACCCAGAATCACATTGTCACCTAGGAAGCCAAAGGAAGGCATTCTCATTAATCTGCAGCCAAGATAGTTTCTTCCTTGATGGGAAGAAGACTTGATCAAATTCACAAGAGACAAAAAACAGGCTACACTGAAGAAAAAAGTAATCTCTGAAAAAGGTGCTCCCAAGAAGGAAGCAATTTTCTTTAGAGTGTGAGTTGTAGAAGAGTGGTCATACAACTGGCTCTGCCTCAGAATTAGCTGGAAAGCTTTTTAAAAAGCTTATATAATGTTTATTGAAATTACAGTTAATAAGTACCACTGGCATAAATTGTCATGGGAACAAACACAACCATGTCTTGGAGGTAAGCAGTTTAACTCATGGAGTCAGGAAGTGCTGTGACTGGTCTCCCAGTGCTCTCCTACCATCCTGAGATTTGCCTGGCCCTTCAATACAGCTTTTGGCATGTCTGCCTATGACATGGTGGACTGGGAAGGCTAGGTGGCCCTGCGACAGGATGGGCCCTGGTGAGTTTTACAAATGTGTTAAGTGGAGTTCAGTTAAGAAACCTACTGCAGGCTCGGCACCTATAGCTCAACCGGCTAAGGCGCCAGCCACGTACACCTAAGGTGGCGGGTTCGAATCCCCAGCCCGGACCCGCCAAACA